AAGGGGGGGGAGGGTAAACGAATGAAAACTAGCGTTTATTTTGTGTAAATTATCTATTATTGCATTGTAAGTTCGTTTATCGATGGGTTGTACAATGAGGTATGACGGAGTTGACTTACAGGTGAAACCATTGGGTCCGGTGATATTTTTTAGGACGGTGTTGAATGCTAAGAAGTTGGATATGTTTTTAATGTGGATAGGAGGAGCAACGAACTTAGCATTGTGAACTTTGTACGGTGGTCTGTCCGGATCTTCCGTAGTGCTATTTGAAGGTGTGGCGAATACATTGTCTTCATCGGTGTTGAGTACGGCGTAACGGTTTGGGGCGATAAAAACTTTTTTTTGTCGATTTGACTGGGTGAACTGTTAGAAAGGTTTCGCTTCGTTGTTTTAGGTGTATGCGACATGATAATGACGTAATGTTATTGAGACAAATTTTATTATAGCGATATGATAACGGAGCGTGAACGATTACGACGTACGTGTGTTCATGAAAATAAGTTTAAATCAGTTAAATTTGTATTACTAATGAATTAAAAGTTTTTAAAAAAATAATACTATTAAATCATATATACCTTGAATACTTAATTACAAAAATATAAGCAATTTGACATTTTAACATTAGACAACATAATACTTTAATAACATATTAAATACCAATATTTTATATTTGAAACATTTTATTTAATTACTATTTTGTACTTAAGATATTTTTTATATTAACTATTCGAGTTTTATCATAATTAATGTTTATAAGCTTTTTTATTGAAGTACATATTATGTAATTAAATATTTGGTTAATTTAACTCATAAATTACTATAAACTCAATAATTGAATGAAAAAGTTATTATAAACCATAACACTCCACTACTACCAATTGGAAAGAAATTCAGTGTCAGGTATAGATATAGGTATATCTTTGTCGAAAAAAATAAAGAAAAAAAAAGAAACTAATTACTTTCAAATAATTGTTGTTACTCAAATTTATATATACTTCGTTTATCAAATAATTTATATATTTTATACATTTTCGTATTTTTTTTTTTTTTGTTTTTTATTCATTTTTTTTCGTCGTCTATCGTATACTTGAATTCGTGGAACCCTTGGCCAGTAAAAAAATGTATGCATATAGTTTCATCAATATGTTTACGATGCGTAAGTACTAAAGTATCGCTAAGTTTTTATTGGCAGAAGTGCCAAAATAACGTTTTTCAAAAATGACTCTGCAGAAGTTTACGTATCACTTCTTTGAAACCCTCCGAGACCATAATAATACAGTTGCCCGAACTCCAATGCGAAACTTTCGTACGTGGTCGTTTTAACTTAAGACGTTCGAATATAGAGCACATCGCCATGAGTAGTGGACGGTCGATGAAATGTGAGTATAGACGTTATAACAGTATGTTTGCACTTTACGTACCAATTAAAACAACTCGATATAAATTAGTTGAGAACATTACTTTAAATTTAAAATCATCTGCGGCAGTAGATATAATAATAATAATATAGTCCGAAACAAACTTGTGCGGGATAACCGTACACAAATTCCATATATCGACGACACATTAATAATAATATTCGATACGGGTTCCAAACATCTGTGTAGCATTTGAGTGTATATATTTGGTAGTAATGTAATGACTAGGGACCGGAACTTGATGCATTTGCATCGTTTTATTTAATGCTTGTATTCGAGGTCCATCTCTATAGAAATTTGACTTGTGCCGTGCAGAACTCAATGGTACTAATTTTATTTTGCATTTTTTTTTTGCATTTTTTCGGTAATTCTTGATTGTAAGGGCATTTTTTAGCAATTTTGGTGTATTTTATTCATTTTTCTACTTTTATAAGTATATTTGCATTTTTCTTGTTGAAAGAACATATTACTTTGATAAAATTAAATATTTAAAAAACTAACATGCCTATTGTATAGCTGAATCCTTCAGTTATTATTAATGGCAGTCGACATATTTGTAACATACGTGAAAATCCCTAAAATAATGTTATAGGTACTTACGTGTTACGGAAAACCATAAAACAGACATACCGATTTTAAAACCTTAAATACGGTAAATGGCTTTAATGGGTGAGGTTAGAAGAACACGTTTGATGTTTTATTTTTACTTTTAAAATCAATGTTCGATGGGCTGAACACGATAAAATATATGCGTATAACTTGGAAAATGGGAGACCTGATGTCGTTTTCTAGAGTTACATGACATCGAAATGAACAACAAGCGTTGTGTAATATACATATACCTTAATAAAAGATTGATAAATTATAATTTGAATATACGCATAATCGTAAAGAAGTCTGACGTCGAACTGAATGTATTGTACAATAGTTTTTTTTTAATAATCGTAAAACGTTTGTTTATTTTGAAACCACATATTATAATAGTTATAATTGTAAGAATGAAAAATATGAATATGGTACACAAATGAGTCTAATAAATAGATGATGTACATGTGGTACACTCGTGTAGGACATATATTATACGAGTAGGTGATGGTATTATCTTACGATTATAGTCAAATGTATTTAAAGATGTACGCGTCGGTCAAATGCCACACAAGCAGTCAAATTTACAAAACAGACTTTAAGCAATCGATTTTTTTATTATTTATTATTTTTGGATAATAACTTTTAAATATTTAAACTTAATTTAATAAAAAAGTAGTTGAAATTATCATTATTTTTATAAATATTTTAACAATGAATGCAGAAATCGATTGAAATAAAAATAAAAACTAGTCGACATTGACTAATTGGTCCATTGCTATAAAAATTGCTAACGTCGTTTCATATTTTCGTATAAAATTAGAATTTGTAAAGACAAAATTTAATTTAGATTTCGTTTTAATTGCTACTTATATTACAATCTCAGAATATAATTTATTAACGATTGGGAAAAAATACAAATGGATACATTAGTGGAATACATCCCAATGATATTTGTGCTTTGAAATACACCGAAAACGATAAAAACGAGAATACAGCATATTATAATATAATAATAATTATTATGACAAACAGTTCACTCCAATTAGTAGGTTTCAGTTTACGGTCACAAAATAATACTATTTAAACAGTATGATAAATATACGAGTATATTAAAGTTATTTAATGTATTTATATGGGTGTAGGTACGAGTATTAGCGTTTGAAAAGATTATAGAATATTAGAATATTATTTTTTTATTTTTTTTTTCCATTGATCTAATATAACTTTGGCGGCAAGGGTCATTATTGTACGAGAAATTATTTTCGTTAACATTATTTTCCTTCAAATACATTGCCAACGTTTTTGAAAACAATGATGGACCGAAATGTTGCAAAAAGGGTTTTATAATAATATTATCAGTGGTGTACGATTCGAATGACGGGGTGACTGCAACGACAGGCAAGTCTTGCACAATGCACTATACACGCGAACACGGACCCGTAAACACGAATGTAATGATTCCGCCGAAGCTTAACATCTTAACGAGCAAGATTTACGCGATCGCATGAACAGATAAAAAATTTAAAATACAATTTCCGAGGAATACGGTATTACGTGGTACGTTTTCGAGAAAACTCGAAGGATCTGAAACTTTTTCTCCGCTCTGAACCCTTCCCCACACACACAGACTAACTGACGCAGACAAACATACATAGAAACAAACGCAGACACACGCGCGTACGTACACTCGTGAAAGAGGTAAGAATTTACTAACTAGAATGCCACATTCAATATACACGAGATATAATGTTTGTGTATGTGTATGTATGCATGTGTAGTAAATAAATACATAAGAATACATTCACATACACTTGTGTGTTCACGTTGTAGATGATGAGAGCGGCGCGGTGGTGCTATGATCGGAGGGATGCGATGTGGAAAAAGTGTAGTCATTCTCTTTCATAATGGAGATTTAATAAAACGTCTTGGAAGTGAATTTTGGTTTTCCAATATAATATATAAAACCGGCCGCAGATTTGCACACCGCCGCCGGCGAAACACAACCCTCTTCGCTCCACGAGTTATACATATATATATATATTATCGTGTATTCTTCGTTATTGCCACTGATCGCTCGCAAGAACTCTTATATACCTTCCTGCCACTGTCGCAGCCGTCGCCGTCATCACAATGTTGACAAGAGGGGTTGTAATAAATTTGCCACCACTACCACCGTTGTTATTATTATTATTATTATTTATATTATCATTTTTTTATTTATTACGACTAGTTCATGCACCCACGCTATCGGCTAGACGCACGCGACCGTAGGTTAACGATGAATACCGTCTAAAACGGACCGGAAACGATTGGTTAAAGACAACATGCTTGAGTAACAGTTTTAATTTCACCCTTAGACGATTTACGGTCTCATCATTTTTGTGCGATTCATAGGACGTTTTCCATATTATATTATTATGTATGTACGCCACTAATAGTAACTGTAACAAATCGCTTGGGAATTTTTTTTTTTTTTGTTTCACCATCTCAGTGTAATCACACTAGAGGTGTGCGAAATCGGTTATATTTCAATGGTCTAAGGCAGGGATCAGCAACTGGCGGACCGCGGTCCGGATCCGGACCGCGGAAGGCAAAACTATGGACCCTGTCAACACATTGTCCTTCATTATGTTATTTTCTGTAATATTATTATTATTAATACAGACATTAATTTAATTTAATTTATCAAACTCAGATTATAGTTATATCATAATTTATTGAAAAATATTTTACCAAGCAAGTAATAATCGGTTTTATTACTATGTTATCGGCCGACGGCCGAGTCGCGACAATACCAAATATTTCGATTTTCTAAGAACTCCGAAGAACCGACGGCGTAAAATTATATTTATTGCTTATCCTTAACTAAATCGTTAACTCTTTAGTTTTAGTACGTGTACATTCGCCGATGGATACAGTGCGTGTTTCGTTTTATATTATTCGTTCAATATTTTGAGTAAAAAACGCAAAATCGACAGCAAAAATAGGAAGTTTATGAACGAGTGGACTGAACTATATTGTTTTATATTGCCTGAAAGGGTTGGAGCCATTCCAGTCTGTTTAATTTGCAATTCAACTGTCACTATCATTAAAAGTGGAAATTTAAAACGGCATTATGAAACTACTCATAAAGATTTTCATTCAAAATTTCCTCCAGGCAGTGAAGTGCGTAAAAATAAGCTCCATGCATGTATGTTATCTTACAAAAATAGTACGACTACACTTATACGGTGTATGAGTGAACAAGAGAAATCAACTGAAGCAGCGTTGCGTGTGTGCTGGGTTCTTAATAAGCACCAAAAACCATTTTCCGATTCCGAAATAGTAAAAGAGTGTATGTTGGAAGTGGCCACTGCACTTTTTCAAGAATATAAAAAATCGTTATCTCTATCCAAGATATTCCTTTGTCGGCAAGGAGTAACACAAGAAGGACAGAAATTTTGGCAGCCGAAAACAATAAAAGCTTATTTGAACTTTTACATAAGTCACCGTGCTACTGTATTGCGCTTGATGAATCTTGTGACTTAGTTGATTCTGAACAAATGTCAATTTTCGTGCGATTCTTTGACATTGAAAATAAAGTGTTTAGAGAAGAGTTACTAGCAATATTGACATTTGAAGGCAAGACTCGTGGAGAAGATTTATTTAAGAGTTTGATGACTTCATGAAAAAATCGGATTTGAGTTATGATAAAATTGTGTCAATTTCCACTGATGGAGCTCCAGCGATGATAGGAAAAGAAAAAGGATTGTTAAAAAGAATCCGGGATAATAATTCCGGGATATTAACTTATCAATGCATAATTCACCAAACATCGCTTTGTAGTAAACTCAGTGCTACACTGAAAGACGTTATGGACGGTTTGATCAAGTTAATCAATTTTATCAGGTCGCGTTCTTCTCTTCAACACAGACAGTTCAAAGAGTTTCTGTGTCAATGTGATTCGGCTTATTCAGATTTACTACAGCACAATCATGTTCGTTGGCTCAGTAAAGGTCGAGTAGTTGAACGTTTTTAGAACATTAAAGAAGAAGTAAAAACATTCCTAAAAAATGTAGATATTGAAGAAGCAAAGAAGCATTCGGATTTCTTAGAAAACAATCGAAATATAGTTGCAATGGCTTTCTTAAATAACATTTTGAAGTATTTAAATACGCTTAATATCGAATTACAAGGAGAAGGGAAATTAATATGTGATTTAATACAAAGTGTGTCTGCTTTCCGTCGCAAACTAAATATATTTAAAGGCGACATTGAACAAAAAAAATGCATTCACTTTCCCACAATACTTGAATGCAAAAATTATTCTGAAATTATAAACATCAAAACATTTTTAAGTTTTTTGTCAGATCTTATGAAGGCATTCGATGATAGATTCGAAGACTTTTCTGAAATAGGAAAACTATCACAATTCTTAAAAACCCCTTACGATGTTCTCCCAGACGGAGAATGGACTGATGTAGCTGAAAAATTATTTAATCTTTCAAAGTCAAAACTCCAAATGGAAATAATAGACCTACAGGAAGATGTTTCCTTGAAGCAGTACAGAAGTGCGTCAACTGAAGAATTCTGGGCTAAAGATGCCATTGACAAGTATTCAAACTGTAAGCAACTGGCAATCAACTTGGCTACGATGTTTGGTTCGACATACATTTGTGAGGCATCGTTTTCAAAAATTAATTTTTTGAAAAAAAAAATATCGGACAAAATTAACAGACTCTCACCTTGAGGACACATTGCGCATAAGCTGTTCTCCACGAGTTCCCGATTTCAAAAAGCTGGCTAAAGAAAAGAAATGCAATTTTTCGCATTAAATAATTTACTATAATAAATATATTTTTTTCATACTTTTAATATTGTAATTTTTAATATAAATTAATTGTAATAACTGAATAATCATTTTTATTTTTATACTGCTATTTTTAAAATATAAAGATTTGAAAAAAAATTTTTTCACTGGACCTCATTGATTTATTATTTTAATCTTTAGGACTCCAATAGAAATTACTTGCCGACCCCTGGTCTAAGGTTTGTTTATATATGGATCATTATGATATGCATAGTTAATCCAATCACATCAATCTATTGCTGTCTGACATCGGTTCAGTCAGTAGTTAAAATATAAATAAATAAAGAGAGCGAGAAAAAAAGTAAAATGGATAATGGTTTTGGATTTAGGACCGGCAAAAGTAAATCTTTGAATATTGCCTTAACCTGTCATATTTGAAAAACTGCGATGATTTATTCCTTTTATTACTTTGAAGAAACTCGGCAGAAATGGAAATGGTAAATAATAAAAAATAACTTTTTCCCAAGAGCTAACTCTCGCGTACTCGTATACCGTAATATATAAAGTTACACACCCTTGTACTACACCTATGTACGATGAATTTTAAATAACAAACTCTTGGAGTGTAAGATGAACGCATAAATAATTAACAAGACCATTCAAACTTGAATGTAAATCGTCAACCGGACAAAAATTAGTTTTTTGAACGCCTGCACGCACGCGTTAGCGTGCACATTTTCCATTGTTGTCGGTTGGTTTTCAAAACGTTCCTCGCCACTGTTGTTCGACACGAGAATCGTGTGAAATGATAATCGATATTTATCGGCGAAAAATACCGTGATGGCGACGATGCGAAAACTACGGAAACGAGTGGCTGCTGGCGTTCGATGAATAGGTGCCGGCACCCCGTCCTCTTGTCAAAAGTAGTACATGTTATTATATCTGCGCGTCCTCCGGGGAAGACATTAATTTTCGACGCGCAATACATACATGCATAATACCCGTGTAAATACCACTTTGTAGAATAATAATAATTATAATATACAACACGAGCATCCGAGATATAGGGCTACTCGACGGCTCTCACGTCACGTACACCGGTCTATGCAGTCCCCTGGCGCAGTTTAAACAGCATCAACCGCGCTACGAAATAATAATTATGATTATTAACAAAATAATTACGAACTTTATTGATCGTGAACACTGCTTATTGTTTTCATCAATGTTATTATATTAGTATTGTTATTGTCACGTATTTTATCGTACATAATTATTATTGTACGAACGTTAAAATATATGTTGAAGTCGAAAAAGTAGTCGTTTAAACACTACGATTGTTATTAAAATCACCCGTCTAGATATTTCAATTAGCATACGTTATGGCATCAGCCGTCGGTACTTCTCCTTTCTTACTCCCACGCTATTATTCACGCTTATTATAACATATTGTTTGCCCGCACCCGGTTCCGGCAATCGCTCGCTCCGCGGTGCGAACTGTCCCCAGGGAGACGATCATTTGTTTTTCGGGATTCGTTGCCGTGGCAAAGACAAAAACGAGTGTTTAAATTAGACTTCCTCTTCGAAAACTTCACTCTTACCCATCCCCTATTCATTACAAACACCGTTTACAGGATGGCTGATGCAGGTCTCTGCGTTTATATAAGCACCAATTTTTGAAACAAAAGAGAGAAAGAGAGAGAGAAACTATCTTGGCGGCGGTGGCGGCGGCGAATATCGAAAAAGCACCAATTAACTGAGAAAAACGACGAAATTAATAAACATATTAATTCCTCTCCCTCAGCCCTCAACATATATTCATTATCTCCACCGTTCCAAGAACGCGTTATAATTTCCCCGCGCGTCACAAAGTTCCACTCCGTAGAGATATATTTTATACATTCATTCGTCAAATATTTTCGCGTCCTTTTCCGCTGACGGTTTTAATTTTTTTCTCTTATTACTCTGCCCTCACCAAACAGTCGAATACAAATAGTGTGGGGTGAAAAACGATTTGTCACTAAATACGTACCTGAATCGCCTACACGAAGCGACGTACCGGAGTACATTGTGCGTTTCGAACAGGCACGTACGGTGACAAACAATAATGCACAGAAAAAATTTTTACACAAAAGTCAAAGTAATGGACGTGCATAGTAACGTAAGCGCCTACGATTTTGGCGCAGTTAAGAAGTTCTTAGCGCCTTCCCTTTCGTCTCGCAAACGGGTACGTTTAAGCGTGTATAGTTCATAATACATAATATAATAATAGTGATATAATAATAATAATAATAATAATAATAATAATAACAATTATGATAATAACGATATTAATAACAATTGAATTGTTGCGTGATGTTGCACAAAGATGCGAGTAAAGTTACGGCAGCGGTGAACAATCGAAGGCTAACAGAGATTCGGCCAGAAGGGGCGGCCGCGGAGACGGACGAAACGCAAGCAGTTAAAATTCCATTGAGGTCGACCACCGGGCGTTGAGAAAGTTTTCTGTTCTTCCGTCGCGGACAACAACGAGACAATTCGACCGCAGTGGTAATAGTGTCGTTCCGGATTCGCCCGCGTGCCAACTTTCGCGGGGTTATCGGCCACGGTCGCATCGTCACTTGCGATACTTTTGCCGCGAACCCTACGCTTTTCCTTCGGTTTCGGGTCCAGGAAAACGGGCAAAGGAGCAACCCGCCATCCGCACCACGTACAGTCATTGTACACATCATAGCACGTAGAACACAAAATGGTGTACGGCGTAATAAGCTTTTCGAACTTTTGGGGGACAATTGACGTACGCAGCATTTAAGATAGTTAGAATTTTTTTTTTTTCTAAAACCACGAACAACCTGTTGTATTTTCAACCACGTTTATTCTTCTCATCCCTGCTTGAGATACTGATGCAGCACTCGTTCCAGAAGCAGTATGAGTTCGACGTCAGGGTCCAATCAGGAACCGATCTAGGAGGGGGGTCAGGAGGTTAGCTGACCCAAAGTTAACATTAGTTGACAGATTTAGCGTCTTGATGACATATTATTTTTTTTAAGTTTGCCAACTATAGGTTGAAGTTATTGTTACACTGGGACAAACTCCTCAACTAGCACCCAACTAATGACGCTACTGGTTTAATTATATAGTACAGTAAAACGTATCTATGTCTGACTCCACGTAAGAAGGGATCCTACATAAAATAAAATAAGTTTTAATGTTTTCAATGCTAATTATAACTAAATTTAAAAACACTTATTATATGATCATATTATGTTATCTATGTTACAAATTATACATTTATAATCAGATTTCAGCTATAATAAAAGGCCTTTTAAAATGGCCTCCTGACCCACAGTTCTCTAACTGTGGATTCGCCCCGGGATCTATCGTATAGGTTTCGGATACATACAGTCTATGACCTCGGAGGTGAACAAAATATATAATGCAACCACCGTCATAAGGTACGATATTGCTTATAATTATATTTACTTTAGAAGGAGAAAAATAGGGAGATCTAGCTGTGCTGCAAACGTTCATATGCAATTTCTTAGTGTGGCTTATAAAATAAACATATTGGGACCTGGACAAGAATATATAATTTTGCGATTTATCAGTTCAATGCGATATGATGTTTGATTAGGATAAAAAATGTTTCAAATATAATAAATATTTCACTGTATTATATATTATATTATGTACATAACATAGAATTTGTTGTTATATACGTTAAACGGTTACATTATACACATGATATTGTTTGCTTATCTCATACTGTTTTATAATAAAGTTTTTTTTTTTTTATATCGTAACGGTGGGTGTAAAAGAATATTTAAGACATACGGTACACGTAATACGACGTTTGATATAGTCAACCATAAAAAAAAATAATAAACATGCAAAATGAACAATTTGTTTTCCAACTCGCATGCTATTTCTCTAACTAAAATGAAAATATATACATTCTCTTAGAATTATTTATTTCGCATAAACCCTTTATCTTAAATCATTTAAATTACAAATTTTTCAAAGAAGTATAATGGAATTTACTAGTTGAATTTTCTAAACATAGTACTTACAAATTTATTGATTATGCATAGCATATATAACATTATACACAACAAGTAATAATTTCCTTAGGTTTAGCTTTAGCACTAAAATCGTTTATAAAAAAGTGAACACGATACTAGAATACCTTATAAACATAAATTATTGTTATATAATATATCTACATATCTTTTAAACATGTTTTAGTTTATATATATATATATATATATATATATATATATATATATTAAATGTCTAATAAGGATCTTATAATGTATAGTTTTAGAAATAATCAATGTAATTGCATATATTATAATAACAAAATTTGTCTAATCCACGAGCATATAATTATTCTAAAAACAATGTTTTCAATTATAAACTATAAATATTTTACTTTAAAATTAAATTCGAATACCATAATTCACCTTTGGCTTTAATGTAGAAAAAACTTTTTTGCCGCGTATTGTATATTTGTATGTTTATTAATTGAAATTTTCATGAAAGTTTTACATATATGAAAAAATAATACCATAATAATATACAACTTTTGTCAGACCATGCAAATGTGCGTGTTGTTGACGGATATTGTATAAATATATTTAATGTTCGTCGTGAATAATATAATATTATTAATATAACCAACATTCAATTTTCAATCAGAAACATGTATGCCAAAAGAATAGTATGATTTTAAAGTCAGTTTACGAAAGAATGCAACAACGATAATATTTATATTCGTTACCTACTCATGATTGTAAACCCTAATCCAATTGTACGATTCAAAGTATAAATAATATATAACAATAATAATAATAATAATATTGCGATTAAAGTTAAATCGATATTTTATATAGTTGCATTAACTCGGTTACTACCTACGAGACGGGCTCGTAAAGTTTCGGCGCTCGTCCGTATCCGTGTCATAATGGTAAACCGCAACTAGTGGCATATTTGTCACACACTTTTCAGGGTCGGGGCCGATAAGTTAGTAGATTCCACCTTGCCATTACTAACTTAACCGATTTTTATGAAACACGATATAAAAAATATCTATATGGGTACACGTTATAATGCGAATTTTAAACAAAAAAAAAAAAAAAATTACCACGTTGGTAAATCAAGCTAATACTATAAGCGAGTGCAATAAACAATGCCAATGACGACTGCCCGACGAAGAAAATTCGTTAAAATCATTGTAAACTAAATTTAACGGTCATATATTAGCAACACTAAGTATAGACGATATATTTTGTTATAATGTTATAATGATTCAAAATATCTATAAGAAATGTGATATGCTACATTTATATAATTTTTACGTTACGCTTATTAAAAAATCAAGGCCCAAAGACTCATTATTAAGACACTTAATTGCTAATAGCAAAATAGTTTGGTAGAATTGTTACTCAGAAACATTGCTCTTCTTAAATTTGAACAGACTAAACTCGGACAATCAAGATAAATTACTAAAATCTGAGAACGGATATAATTCTAATAAATAACAATAAACGAGTGTTTTGAATTCTTGATTGCACTAGGATTAGAGTTTAGGAGGTAATATAATTGCTAATTTGAACCACTGTAATTTTAGTGCGAGGATGTTATTTCAGGCACTATTGTTTATTGCTAAGCTGAATAATAAACTGCGAAATGGTATTGAAAGAATGAGCACAGCATCATGAATATATAACTTTCTATGGCTATGAAAAAATAAATAATAATGAATTAATAAATTATTTTCAAAGTGGAGTTTACTTTATTAGATAAAACATATCTGATAATTTATGGTTTAAACAAAACTAAAAATAAATACGAGAAATAGATATAACTATCTATTTAAGTAAGAAGTGTATTAAAGGAATCCAAAATAATGTAGATACGCGGAATGTTGAATAAAAAAAAAAAAATGCGCCAAATATTATTGAATTTAGGAAGAAATTTAACGTGATTTAATGTTGTAAATGAAGTTCGGTGTACTAACAATTAAAATAAATGTGTAATTTTTAATATATTTTGAGTGTTCATACAAAACAAATTGAATTTTCAGAAACTATCAAAATCATTGGAATATACGAACATGAAATCATACGAATGATTATATGTCTCTATATTAATTATTGTGATTAGAAAATGTTGATGACTGACGAATATCAAAATATTTCATTGATACTCGTCGAATTTGATTTATAACTTATAATTTAAAATATATATGTATAATACGCAGAGTTGCATAGTACCTAAATTAAATTTTCTAGATGGATTAACAAGCTAAAAACTTCTCATTATTATTTTGTTCATAGATAAACTATGAAATTATCATCTAATATATACCCATCAAGATAAATATAACTGAATAGGTTTAATCTAGAATAATAATTTCTATTTTAGTATGTTTTTCATTTTGATTGCTAAATTATTATTGTAGTATATAGAATAGTTATTTCATTAGCAAAATATTTATCTCACTAATTTTTCACAAAAGATTTATGTACAGCGTTAAAGCAATTAAGAAGTAAGTAATATTAACTAAAGCATATTATATCAAACCAAGTCCTAAATTCTTATTTAAAAACAACTTTTACCGAAAATATTTATAAATGTGATGTTAAGTTTTTATGATTAAAAATTTTAAAATACTTAGAAAAAAATTCAATTCATCTAGATAAAATATTATTATTTAATTCAACAACTAGATATATAAATAATACATTCATCTAAGTACAATTTTTTTTACGATTAGTTTTTTAGATTAATAAAAAAATTCCGAGTACATCATTGAGTACCTGACACCTGATCTCCATAATATAAATTGACGAGATTACGAATGATGTTACCAAATGAGATTGTGTTAGTGACTGTTTTTAGCGGTCAGTTACTATTGTGACTCTTAAGTGAATTTTTTATCGCGGAAGAATGCAAAAGCAATTCTCGCAGCGCTGTTGGTTCAAAAACAAAAAAAAAGTGTGTTTTTTGATAAAATATTTTTTGAAATTAATCATTACCTTTACAAAAACTCTTTTTATGATAAAATTAAGTGTTTTTTTGTAATTTTTATTAAAAAATATTCCAAACGTAGAAAAACGTAAATGATCTAACAAAAATTAAAAATAATTTGAAGGACGATCAAATATAATATTAGAATCCAAACTTAGACAAATTTAACTATGGAACGTAACGAGAATATCTATCGAATGATTATGATATTCTATAAAAAAAATTTTCTACATAACAACGATAGTAATGTTAATTGGAATGAAGATTCATCAAGTATCCAAGATAAAAAAAATTACAACATTTTTTAATAATACCGATTTGATGGGTGATTTTCGATGTGACAACGATTCAAAATTTGGTCTGGTTAAAAGAAGAAAAGCAAATACTTATCAAAATAAAAAGAATCTTTACATATTGGTATACGGAATGGTTGAAAATGCAATCAAAGACAAATGATTGAAAAAAGCCCTATGTTTCATATTGATAAATCTAAAATTCACGGAAACCAAAAGCGTCGAACGCACTACAGTATGTTTGTGAAAATATACAACTGCCTCGACGAGATACTAAAAAAAAACATAACAGAGGCGGCTTGCGAATAATAATAAAAACAAATTCAAAGATCTTGCGTCACTTTGAATCACGCGTTTGAGTATACGAAAAAAACGATTTATTTTTATCGAAAATAAACGTGATGTAATAGTAACATTACTAACCTAACACGAACATTTTTATTCGGTAGTATTTTTGTATTACGACAAAAATGTAACGCGATTTATGCAATTTGAAGAGGAAAAACGAGCAAGAATGAGAAATGAAAGTTTTAAACTATCTCATTACGAATTGTCCGTGCACAAAATACAGTTCGACCGGAGAAAATGAATTATTTTTGCGGAGTACATTTTATTGTAATGTAACATCAATAATATTACGTTTATAAGTAATGGTTTTTACAGAATTAACAAGTCAAATCGGTTAACAGTAGAATTGATTTGATTGGACCGACAACAGTCGAACAGCCACGTGAATTTCAAATGAAAAAAAAACGTACTGCATGCGAGAATCACAGTACAGGATCGATTTGTCAATGTTCTCGCCACCACAGAATGCGACACGTGTTGGACGACTATTGACCGACAAAAACCATTCGGGTTTGACGAAAAGACCGCGATGATGCAATTGTTACGCATAAAAGGTTTAAAAATAAATTCAGCAGATCGCGGCGTCTTTACGCGACGCGAGTACAAGACTCGTTTCGCAGGTTCGTTCAAATACGATACGCGACTCTTCGGTACATCGTATTATCCAACAGTGGCGGATATAGGATATAATTTTCTCTGGTGGGAGCTCATTTTCTTAAACGGAGTGATAATTTTTGGGGATTTATTTGTGAGACTTTGGTTATGGTTTTTATGTTGTTTTAAAAAACCTTTGAGCTTGTATATAATTTGGAAACAAAAATTACTTCTAATATAAAAACTATTGAACCATCAAAACCTAACTTAGGTCAATGGGTAGGGGAGGGTAGAGGTCCTCGTTCCCCTTTACAACCACCACCGTTGTATGATACATAATTCAAACTCGTGGCGTCGAATTAATCTTAAGACTGCGTTTGGTGCTCACTTGGACGCGGTGTAAAGTCGTCGGATCATTTGAGATGATCGGCACCTGAAACTATGCCGGCGTGCTGCGGTACGCGGTAACCATCGGTGCGAAGCGGTACGCAACTCCAACCGCGGTTACCAGTTGTCGGCCACCGTTCCGCGATGGAGTTGTATGTCACTGGACGAGTGGCAGTGGACCACGGACGGGTTGTCGGCGTCGCGATCGTTCTCTTCCCGCGACGGTTCGCTTTCTCCGCGTTGTTTGTCTGAAACGTTTTTTTTTTTTTTTACGTAATACGAGAGAGGTGTTCGGAACACTCTGAGGACGAGATTACAGGACGACGTGCGGTGAGCACCTGTTCGTCGCTACTGTTTGCTGTTTCGACGGAGGGCGACCGGTTACGTCCGACCGTGTGTGTGTGTGCCGTCGGTCGTGTTTTCTATACGCGGTCGTGCGGGTCGGACGTGCGAGTCGGTCGGCGTCGGTACACGTTATCGCGAAACGGCGTGTGGGACGTCACTGTGTGTGTGAGCGCGCGCGACCCTTCGGCCGGTAGAAGGACGCCGAAGGGTTGTTCAGCCGAGTGGCGGCGCTCAAGTCATGTACGACCCTTCGTCGCATGTCCGTCTGGACAAACGGACGGACAAACGGAGGGGAAACACCTTTTCTTATACGCAGGTTGTACGCGCGTGTGCGGTCGGCGTCTGATGACAAAATGTTAAGATAAAAATATCGAAGGAACACATCCCTACGAGCTCTAAGCGAACCTATCGATTTCCAAACAGCAACCCGTCATCGTTACCAGTTCACATGCACTGTTAACTCCGTTCACAGAGCGACATGATCGACCAACGTACTTACGTAGTTTAGCTCATCGCAAGTCTTCGTCCGGTTAACGATGCATATTTATATCATATTGCTATTTTCGATTCGTAAGAAGGAGAATAATGCAAAAGGAAATCAAACGTATACGGCAGAAAAAGTAAAAATAAAAAAAAATTAATCACATACCGATTGTAATAAGGATGTAAAAAATGTACTCCAACAGTCTCAGATACGAATACATTATTTATTTATTAACGTGTTGTTATTATTATAGACGAACGTACCACCGAAACCCTCATGGGAAATGATAATGGACTTTCCTGGGGGATTCGGAGTCCAAAACGGGAATGCTTGCTCCTAGGCTTACGTATAAATATTATCAAAGGTACGTAGTTAATGTACAATGTCTAATTGGACTTAATGCCAACATTTGAACAGACTTAACCCGGAGTCTGCCGTCCATTTGACACCCCGTGAATATGAATTTGTAACTCCGACAATAACTATTTCCGCCGAGACTTATACGTCTATCGACCAGCATATCTTAACGGTGATACACAAATCAGCACTTAAATAAGCGTTTTACAGACTCACAAGTATGTTCTTCACCGTATTAGACCCAATTGTACTGTACGATAATGATATTAATAATAATATAGTGCTAAATACAACTATACAGGAAATTAAAATGTCAAAATAGAATGTTTATGATCCTCTGCAAATTAATTATCAATAAATTAAATTATGAAACAACCCTTTTTTTTTTTTACTGTTGTGTATGAGATTATTTTTATAACGAAATTATAAAATTATAATTTTTGCGAATAATAATCATACTGTCGTAAGCTGTACTTTAAATTGTTTCGGTTTAAAACAATTGTAATACAGAAAAAAAACCACTATCATTTAACGCAAGAATCCCTAATTTAATTTACTGACAATAGAATAACACAAGTTATGTACGTTCTCGTAATCGGTTTCGAGAAAATACAATAATTTTAGGAGCAGATTTAATGGTTTTGAATATAGCTATTTACAGGCATAAAATAAAATATTATATTTTTCAGACCTAACGACCAAGTACGGAGAATGCAAACAAAACAACTTTGAATAACTTGCAATAATTGCATGGTTAAATAATTAATATTTGATAATGATTTATACATTTTTTTATAGTGTTAAGCTATTGATTAAAATGTCTTAATAAATTCTATGAAGCTATATGAACGAGTTTACCAACAATATTTGAGGTTTGCTGCTATACGAGTATAATAAGCATATTACAATTAAGAAAATATAATAATGATTTTAATCATCAGTTGCTGATATTAACCTAGATATTAAGTGTCATCAGTATTTAATAAAGTCATATTAAGTATGTAATTAAAGTCTTATTTTCAGTGGTTTTATAATTATTGTTTGATATTTAATTTAATGGTTAGGTTTCTTGGTAAGTTAAAAGTTTAGAAACAGTATTTAAAACATAATTAATTTCTCATAAACGTTTTTATATAAAGAAAAAGTAAAATACACTGTTTAAAATTTGTATTATTTTGTATATTTTGTACCTACTCATAGTGATAGATTTATCGGTGCAAGTTATAATACCCAGGTTAACCAACTACTATAGAGTATGCGTATGAAAAACAAAGATAAGAAATGTAAATGTTGGGTTCGTTTTGGTTTAACTACCATCATAAATGTTTTTGTTGAATCATTTGAATTTGTTAATATTTTGCGTTTGTAAACACCCGTTAAACGTATAAAATACGCGAGTGTAATATATTTACATACATCCCATCTATTGTAAGTTTATTGTATAATTACAAGATTCTGGAATAATAATTGTAAACAAAAAATTCAACGTTATTGAATAACTTCTATGGAATCTATATAATGTTAGTAAGTAGAACCAAAATTATGAGAAACATGGTAAATAATTTTGTACGGTAAAGTTCAGTGAATTGCTCAAAATATGTTCGTTTTTAAAATCCCAAATTTTAGACATACATTACAAACACTAAAATAACAGCTACCTATGAAATAATAACAATAACTAATAACCATCAACATCATAACATTAATTGTTGTAATAGAAATTGACGTTGGGAAAATTAACAATAATTTTAATTTTGATTAGTTTAACAATAAAATGTATTCACGTATATTAATTATATAATTTAAGTTTCAAATACCGTTTACTCAAGTTAACTGCGTTTAATAAGAACAGATGGAAAACAAAAAAAAAAAGGAACAATTTTGTTTTTTCACTCGACATCAATACACAATTCTTCGTCATCATTAATTAATATTTTTTCTCTTCATTCTGGTAATTTTCAACATTTTTGGTAATGAAAATTCAAAATCTACTTGATTGGGAGTATCGAAAAAACAAAATACGTTAATTATAAGTTTGTTTTGCAAAAAAAAAAAAAAAATCAAAAAAATATTTAAGTTCATTAATTTAGCGGAAGAAAACAATAAGTTAATGTAACCCCATGTTAAATGCATTTAACTTTTGACTTAATAATTCGTGGGCATCCGATTTTGATAGTAGCACAGTTGTTTTACCCGTTTTCGAGTAAAAACACACGCACGCGGTGAACGAATTCGGTATTCTTTGACGCTGAATTACGGTATGATCAATGACTGACGAAGATGACGAAGATTCGACAAGGCAGTCGATCTGTTCGCAATAGCGCACAGAAATTATTCATTTGCGATTCGCACGTGCCAATGGACGACGAAATAAAGTACGCCGAGCGATGTGTACCTCCGTATGATGTTGCGCGCAGGTGGTAAAACGAATCGTTTTTCGGTCATCGCTTCTATACTCCTCGGATCGTTCTTCGTTCGTACCGACAGTCGGCTCGCGGGAGCGTTACTACGAATAATTGAAGGCTTCACTGCAACAATAGGGCAAGTCCGCTTTTCGATAATTGTCAGGAGAAAAAAAAATTATCTTAGCCTATAGAAAATTTAAAAAAAAAAAAAAATTATATTGAGTGTAACACACCCATTATTGTTGTATTATTATTTCTAAATATATGACTTTAGTTGTGCATATATATTCTTGACGTTTGAAATGTATGGACTTGTCTGAGGTTTTGCTCATAAAACATAAATGTATTTTCTTAAAAAAAATTAATGTCTTAAAACCAATAACCAGTATAAGTGACTGTCAACACCAATAATATTTAAATAATGAATAATGCTTCTCACAGATTTTAACAACACGAGATGTAATAATGTTCATGTTCATTATTTCGCATGGACTTGCATACATTTTTTTATCATAAAATAAAATATTAACTTGTTTATAAAATTTTAGGTTTTAAATTAAGTCCGGATTTTCCTTGCTCTTGATCAAAATATATTAAACGAGGAAAATCCGTCTGCACGTTATCTCCGTAAATAACGATTGAACATACCTCGTTTTTGGACAGTATTAACCGTGATGATACGTCGCATTGAGAACAATCAAAAGCTGATTTTCGAAAAAAGTGGACATGCCCAGTTGTTGCAATGAGATCTTGAATTCGTCTATGCGACCAGCGGAACGTACATCGGTAACGCGATCCCGCGAAATCCGATACCGTCCTTAACAGCGGAACAATGCATGTACTCTACGGCGCGCGCACACGTGGCCGTACAAGTTTCCGTATGACCTCGTCAACAGCAACCAAACAGTTTGTGTCGTTATCAACAGGTCTTATTCTAACGGGCAGCACGATCCAAAATTGGAAGTAGAAAAGATCAACAAGACAGATGACTTAGTGAATATGGGCACTTTACAAAATTATAATTGTCCTTATTAAATAATTAAATTTCTACCGAGTATTTGAAATGTGTGTAATTTATGAACCAAACCTACAGTTTTGTGCATTATCTAGATAATTCTATCTAAATGATTTATCTAGATAAAATCATTAATCTTTTTATCTTATCTAGATAATAATAATTTGAAGGATCTTTTTATCTATATTTTTACTTAAAATGGTTGCTAAGATAAATTATCTAGATCATTTTGAAGAAGATAATTTTTTTTTTTGTGGGAAGTGAAACGAGGAATAATAAACACATAGTAGTCTGTGATAGGTATTATATTACCTTATGTACGTTTTAAATGTTAAATATACATATTATTTAAACAAAGAAAATGTATTATATAATTATTTATACAGAAAACATACAAAAATGAACGTATTTCAAATAATACCATTCAATGTTATAACGGATAAATTTTTTTTCTGTATAATCGACGACTAAGCAATACCCGCTGCCCAATTCTTACGCCCGGAATTTAATATACGTATACCTAGTAATGGGCAAATTAACCCGATAAATTAGATACATTTATTTTTAATGCTAAAACTAATACATGGATATTACAATACTTTTTTTATGATTGTTTCCTGACTTTTCATGTTTTTCCAAGACTGATGATTAGAGTAAATAAATTATATTTATGAAGTTTTTGTTAATTTTATTCACTTTGGCCAATTTGAATATTTTATCATAGAAATTGCATGGCACACTTTTATTGTCTTCACCGCGATGGTAATGCTTCCATACAGGATCTTTTACCCGACCTATGACTAAAATAAAATATTACTAAACTAAATTAAATTAGACAAAAGAACTTGAATTGATCAGTAACTAGTAGTATAAGTTGTAGCATTTATTATAGAATATATCTATTCTATAATC